TTGTTGAGGAAGCACAGTACTGATTATATGGTGGCTACAGAATGATAAAGGATTGCTGGAGAGTTTTCTCTGTATAAAAAAGAAAAACAAACATCTTTTTTGTAAAGAGTAAACATACAATAGAGAAGGGGAAGTTCTGCAGAATAATTAATAAAATTGGTTCTGCAAAATCTAATATCCTCTCTTTTGTCACACGCACCCAAAAGCATTACAATTTTCAAAAAAATAATATCGTATCTCTCATACAAATATAAAATAAATAGGCATCAAACTTTTATTTGATTCATTGATTAACAGGGGAACAAATAAAATGTTGCAATCAATTCAAAGAGCATTTGAGAAGGTAGGCATTTATAGGGAATATTAGAGTAAGGTTGCTGTGTTAGACACAAAACTTATTAATGTCCAACAAGAAAATAAACCCTGACCTTTGGGATCATCTGTTCTATTGGACAGAAATTACTTGTATCTCTAACAATCAAAAACAGCACATTGACCTCTAGCCAGAGACAAGAGAAAATCCAATGCAAAACTGCACTGACATGCCCTGTTGTCTCTTCTACCTATTTTCACATTTCCAATAATTTTTCTGACATAGAGTAAAAGCAATTTTGTAATGGAGGAGGAGGACACTGATTCTCTGGAAATAAGGGAATCAAGAAGAAGAGATCGTCAGAAAGGGTTTTGGGAGCTGCAGGGAGCAGGCTGTGCTCTGCTCTGAGTTCCTCTGGGTTGTATTAGTACAACAGCTTTCAGGCTGTGCCCGGCCCTGAGCTATGCATTTGATAAGAAAGTTGTCTGTGAGGGGAAAGGGGAAAAAAAAAACAAGGGAGAGAAATGAACTACAGTAGATAGTAGATAGTAGATGGGGTAGAGAGAGAAGATGGGAGGGGAGGGGAGGGGAGGGGAGGGGAGATAGTAGAGGATAGGAAAGGCAGCAGAATACAACAGACACTAGTATGGCAGTATGTAAAAACGTGGATGTATAACCGATGTGATTCTGCAATCTGTATAAGGGGTAAAAATGGGAGATCATAAACCACTTGAATCAAATGTATGAAATATGATATGTCAAGAGATATGTAATGTTTTGAACAACTAATAATAAAAAAAAAGTAGGCACAATGATAGCCCTTAATTACACTCAACAGAAAATAGATGGAAAGTAAAACCAATCTAATTTGCACATTGTTTCAAAATAACATTATTAAATATATAGCATTATTTTTTGAGTTTATATTCATGATAAAAGCTTGAATCCTCAACCCTGGGGACCAAACAAGGCTTTTTATCTTGTGGAAGATAGATTTAGAACTTTTGTAAGTCTACATAAATATAATTCAGGTTTTATATAATGGAAAAATATTATTGATAAAATAAGCATTGCCAAATAATTTTTGCACACTTTTCCATGTATTTCATTGCATTATTTAATAAACCATAAGTCTATTATACCACAAAAAGAAAAAAGAAAAAGAAAGTGGTCTCCCCTCACCACTCCATTTTGAGTGCAAGTGCTACGGCACTATGACTAGGTATATTGTCTGGGCAAACAGATAACCACTGGATGTTGAACATACAGGAAGGACTTATCAAAAAGAAGACTCCCCAGTTGCTCAGTGGAATCATAAGGCACAAACTGATAAATGGATTAATCATGATAATGAAAAGTTATCACCTGTGAACTTATCAGTTAAGTCACAGACCCATGGACTAGAGGCATATCAAACCCCTATCAGGAAAACCAGGCCCATGAGCTTATTTGACACACTGGACCAATGAATGCTGTAACTCCCTCACTTGAAATTCATAAAGGAAGATGCACCTAAGATAGTGGTGGTATGGTGGCACACGCTGACCTGTCTTATCAGACCACTTGCTGTATGCCTCCTGAGATGACAGGTGACAAGCTCCAGACTCTACCTGGGGCTTCAGCTCAGCTCAGTCTCTTGGAGAAACTGCACCTTCCCTGAACAGCTCTGTGTCCTAAATAATTTCCCTGCAACAAGTTCCTTCTTGGGAACTTCCTGCTGTGACTTTTTTACACCCCTATCAGCTCTCCCCCTTTGCTTTCAGTTCTGACTCTAATTAAACCTGTGGCCACTGTTAACCCTTTCTTAGCCATTCTGTTACCTATACATCATTGTGGAAAGTGTGATATATGACTTGAATGTTAAAAGTATTACTAATTAACTTTGGGATAGAATAAAAGAACTTGTGATTGCCCTGCTCATGGCTACCAAGTGAACCATGAGAACTGGATGAATTAAAGCTGATGAAGTTGATGTAGCTTGTGAGTTTATTGTTATTCAATAAATTCTGACATTGTAGAAAGACACAAACACGTTGGGTGTATGTTATTAACAGAGCTAACTCATGACGGGAGCCCATACATTTTTCCTATTGACTCAGGAAGGGAAATGACTCTGCCAAAAGATTCCTAAACCAGGAGTGAGCTAATGCTTGCAGCGCTACCCCCTTGATCAAAGGGAGCAAAGGAATATAGGCACTAAGATGAAGAATCCATTAGTGAGCATCCCTGTTCTCCCAGTCGATAGCAGGAAAATAATTGCACGAAACATCTGCTCTAGGCAAGGATCCCACAGTGAACAGCAGAGACCTAAACAAAAAAAAAAAAAAAAAAAAGCATGAAAATTATCTTGGGCTGTTGGCATGGCTGTACAAGCTCCCTGAGATATATGGGACCACATGTGGTAGATTAATTTTGCCACTAGAGGCATCAAAGGAACAGACAAGAAAGATAATAGCTGATAGGTCAAGAACCCCAAGGAGGTGAGAAGGGATGCCTAGCTAGGAACCTCCAAGGATTGTGGTGAGATGGACAGGGAAGTGGAAGAACATCTGTCTCAGTTCATTCTTGCTAGTACACAAAATACCTTAGTCTGGGCAATTTATAAGCAACAGAAATTATTCCCTCATGGTTCTTGTGTCTGAGAAATCCAAGATTGGGTTTCTGGCAAATGGGAAAAATAGTAAAAGCTCTCTCAGCTTCCAAGATAGCACCTAATTACTGTAGCCTAAACAAACAAAACAAACAAAAAATAGCATGAAAATGATCTTGGGCTGTTAGCATGGCTGTACAAGCTCTCTGAGATATATGGGACCACATGTGGTAGATTAATTGCTCTAGGTTAATTTTGCCACTAGAGGCATCGATCATTTCGCCTCCAAACATTCCTGCATTAATACAGGAGCTTTGGGAGGACACCTCATATTCAAATCATAATATGTTCTAATCATGTCTAAAGGCCCCCACCTTCTAATACTGTTGCATTAGGGACTAAGGATCAAAATGAATTTTGGAGGGACACAAATATTGAAAGTATAGCAGCAGTTTAAACTGACGAGAGGGAATGAGGAAAGAGTAAAATTCCTCACAGCCAGATTCATAGGCAATGTAAGATTATAAATGATTATTTTTGCCCCCACTATGAAAACAGAAGTTATGGTAGTAAACGTGCAAGCTTGAGAAGAGAGGTGTTATTAGTCAATTGTATCTTCCACTTCCACCCCACCATCATTCATACATTTAAGTCCTAACCCCTACTACCTCTGTATGATTGAGGTGGTTTACTTGTTTGTTTGACTTGGTGGCAGGGAATCCAGGGGTGCTTAACCACTGAGCCACATCCCTAGCCCTTTTTATGTTTTATTTTGAGACAGGGTCTTATGAGTTGTTTGGGGCCTCACTAAGTTGTTAAAGCTGGCTTTCAACTCAAGATCCTCCTGCCTCAGCTTCCTGAGCAGCTGGGGTTACAGGTATGCACCACTGTACTCGGCATGACTGAGGTTCTTAAGAGAAGAGGAGATTAGGACACAGACACACGTGGAGGGAAGACTATGTGAAGATAAGGGGATAAAATGGTCATTTATAAGCCAAGGAGAGAGTCTTCAGAATAAATAAACCCTGACAAAACCTTAATCATGAACATGCATCTGCCAGAACTGAGAAAATAAATTTATGTTATTTAAGCCACCCAGTCTAATGCACATTGTTATGGTAACTTTAGCAAACTAGTTCAGTTGGTGAAGGTTTAAATATGTGCTAAGGGAAAAGGGAGATGATTTTAGCAGAATAATGTACAAAGATTACCATTGTAATATTAAAAGTGAGTATTATATTGGAAGCTATAAGTTTTTAGTGATTTTCTCCAATCCTATTCTCAATTCTGCCAAATACCAGACATGTAAGAGGAGTGCCAAATATGTGTGAATGAATGAATGGACAAATGTATGAATGAATGAAGTTTGGGGGCAAGTACATCAGAAAAATAAAAATATCCTCTAGCACCCAGCTAAAAATAATTTATTTGTGATGTTAGCTAAAATCTGTTAGATTTGTGAGCTTTGCATGGGATTTCCTCAGTCTGAGAATGTAAGCAGGAGAATCACTGAGTCAGAAAGAGATGGCAGTTCATTTGTTTAAAAAA